GGCGCTGCCCTCAGCAGCACCCTGCCTTCTCGCTGTCTCTTATACACATCTAGATGTGTATGATGTGATAGGGTAATGCATGGTTGGGCAGCACATGGATTCAGAAAAAAAAAAAAAAAAAAGTCATAAGAAGTTAGCGACTACTAGCGTCTGCAGTACTCTCCTCGTCGATTTGACCATTCCCTGCTTCGCCGCCGCCTGCTCCTCCTCCCTCCTCTTCTTCGCCCGGCAGACGCTTCTTGTCTTCCTCCTGCTGGTGCCTGCTGCTACCCCTGCCGCTGCTGCTGCTCCTATGCCTTCTCCTCCTCGTCCTGCCCTCTCCTCCTCCTCCTCCTCCTCCCCTCCTCCTCCTCCTCCTCTTCGTTCTCCTCTTCGTCCTCCTCCTCCTCCTCCTCCTCCTTCTCCTAGTGTTCCTCCTCCTCCTGCTCCTCCTCCTCCTTTTGGTCCTCCTCCTCCTCCTGCTCCTCGCGCTTCTTCCTCCTCCTCTTCTTCCTCCTCCTCCTCCTCCTCCTCCTCCTCCTCCTCCTCCTCCTCGTCTTCCTCCACGGTCTAGATGGGATTTCTTTATTCTTTGTGGTGTTGACTACGTTCTCTGAATACAATCTAGACCTGTTGGTCTAGTATTCAGAATTTTTTAAGAGAAGGAGGAGGAGGAGGAGGAGGAGTAGGAGTAGTAGTAGTAGTAGGAGGAGGAAATTTGCATGTTAGTAGGTTGGTCTAGTATTCAAAATTACAAGAAAGAGTACATGTTAGCTTTTTTAGTTCTGGAAGCTTTCATGATTGCTGTGTTTTGCATGCTAGATCTTCTACCTTTTTTTTTTAATGTGTATTATAGGGTATGGTACAATTAGCATATATACCAGTGGGTGTTTGATTCATAATATTGAATGGAATCCAGTCCAAGGTGCCAAATTCGTTCGGGCTGCAGTGACTTTTGCTCACTTGATTCAAAAACATGAGGCAACCGTCAGGTTACGATTACCCTCAGGCACGTTAACGTCTTATAAATACTCTCCTCTCAACTGCCACCCCTCCTCCTCCTCCTCGTCCTGTTGTTCTTCTGGCTTCTCCTCCCCTTCACCCTTCTCCTCCCCCTTCTCCTTCCCCTCCCCCTTCTCCTTCCCCTCCCCTCCTCCCCCTTCTCGTACCCCTTCTTCTCCTCGTTGTCATCTCGCCTCCGTCCTACTCCTTTTCCTATAGGCTATTGCTTATCCATTTGCCTTATTGTCCTCCTCGTGTCGGTACATTTCCATGTCTGTTGAGGTCTAGGAGGGGCCCTCTTAGGGGTGGTTGGTATCTGTGTGGCAGTATTTACAATGCTTACCCTTCTTCCCCCGAATACAACGTACGGTCATTATAGCTGTATTTAGACTGAAAGATACCCCAAATTCAGCTATAATGACCGTACGTTGTATTCGGGGGAAGACTGTAGCAGCTCGCTGTCGTACAGCTACCGTCTTCCGCCGAACATAACGCACGCTGAAAATGAACGTATACAAGCCGACGTTCCGGTCCGATGCAGTCAAAATGAGGGTGCGTTGTGTTCGGGGGAAGACGGTAGGCAATAGGAGCACACATAGCATGAGAAGAAGTAGGAAAAAAAAAAAAAAGGAAATCGAATGAAGGCCATTGAAAGACGGAAAAAAAAAAAAAAGAAGAAAAAAAAGAACAGAGAAAAGAGAAAGGCCGTTCTGTCCAGATTTGACAGGTAATTGAATTGGTTGGGCTTAAAGAATTAGCCTTTAAAAAAAAAAAAAAAAAAACAGCCCCAAAATCACTGCAGAATCCGTAACACCAACTGGCAGAAGAGACAGGTGAAAAGACCTATAAGCAACACGGAGGACATCCACCATCTCATCAATGGAACCACCTTAACCCCTGCACGACACGCTGAACGCCGGGCCCTGTAGCCCAACCCACCACCAACCATGATGTAAGGCAGACCACACATCTATAGTGCAATCACCCCCTACAAGGACGCCCACCACCCACAATGATGATGCCTTCACAGAGTGACACTCCCCCTCTCATCAACCCGCGCGCCCCTGATAAAACAGCAGACCCCGTAGCCCAACCCACCACCCGTGATTTAAGGCAGACCACAAAATCTATACCGCAATCACCCCCCCTTACAAGGACGCTCACCGCCTACGATCATGATGCCTTCACAGAGTGACACTCCCCCTCACATCAACCCGGCACCGAGAAAACCACCCTGCCACCTGCATGGCAGGGTCACGCCCAAGGATGGACCCTATAGCCCACCCCACCACCCACAATTCAGGGTCGAAAGCGAGCCATATCTGCTGTCGCTCCCTACAAGGACGCTCACCGCCCACCATGATGATGCCTTGCCTTCACAGAGCGATCCAACTTTGGCAACACAGCATGGCAAACAATCTACGCAAAACCATGGTCCAAACCTCCTAGCCAATTGAACCAAACTAGCATCCGTCGTAATTACATCTATCAAAACACGACGACGACGGATGAGTCGGGTCATAGCAGCGAAGAACTAAAGGACAAACAGCTAAAAGAAGAACGATCACACACACACACACACACACAATTGAAAACATTCAAAAAGTCACAAATTACATAAACCTAGTAAATTCCCAAAAATGTCCTTCGTCGGGACATCCGTTAAAATTGGACTTTGGAACGATACGGAGAAAGAAGATTATCATGGCCCCTGCGCTTTCAAGGATGACACACATAAATCGAGAAATGGTCCAAATTAAAGAAGAAAAGAAAAAGAACTTTAAACTTTAAAGAAGTAAATTCCCCAAAATACCATCACGCTTGTCTAAAACGGCACAGCACTGAAGGGTAAATGTAACCACTGAAGGTAACTGTAGGCCGAGCTAAGCAAGAACGAGATCTCAGATCGCCAATCACAAGCCGGCGCCTTTCTCGACTAGGCGTCGTCATCCTGCAGAAGTGAAGCTCCCAAGCTTGGCAACCTCGTCCGGCTGCTCGTTCGCATCACTACCGGTAGGCTCGTTTACATCGATGCGCAGCCAAAAGAGTTTTCCATACCAATGACCAAGAGAATACTCCCCCTGATCGGCTCCATATCCGGTATTGCGCAGTGCTCAGATCCTGCCCCCGCCCCCTGGGTTGTCTCCACTTCGCCCCTTGCCCGTAGCCCTCCTAAATCGCAAAGGGATACCAACGCCAAGTCAAAGACCCGCGACTGAACGTAGCCTGGAGCATCGCAGAGCCCCTGTGAAGAAGCACGCCCCACCCGATGCCCATGTGCCCAACGCCTGCGCCGCCTCTGCCACGCCCAGCAGCAGACTCCGGCACATGAAGCTGGCTCTCTCTCCCTGCTCTGCAATGCGATCACCCACTGCCCACTCGCTGCCTGAACACCCTGGGGCCGGGGCGGTGCTAAATGCTAACACATTAACGCTATGCTAGCAGGACCTCTTTGGTGGGTGAGCAGAGCACTACTGCACTAGAAAGCGAACGCTTAGGGACACGCTGTTCGGTTGGAGGGTGAGCACAGCACTGCTGCACTAGAAAGCGAAAAGAACCTGTCCTAAGCTCTTTCTGCCTTCGACACCCTATCGACCTAGTGGTACCGGTCAGACCGTGAGGAAAACCGGTAAGGCCTAGAATCTTCGATATTTACAAAAATGTCCCCGTGGGGACCACCGTCTTCACCGGAATAGAACGCCCGGTCATTATAGCTGCATCTGGTCTGAAAGTTGCCCCAAATACGGCTATAATGACCGGGCGTTCTATTCGCCTGAAGACGGTAGGCCTGTGCCAGTTACAAGGCAGGGCCTCAAACTTCAGACTTTACAAAAACACCCCTGTTAGTGTACAGCTCGCTGAGGATCTGAAAGGTCATTGCACTTGTCACTTGTGAGAGCTAAAACCCTAAACCCCAAAATGCGAAAGTCCTATTTAGTGGAGCGTTTTTTTTACAGAAAGAAGTTCAGCCATATGTCAAATCAAGTCATTATTATAGATTAAAAAAAAAGTAGAAGTACGAGCAGCTTATCAGCTTTTCTTATATATCGTGCCTTTTTTACTTGGATCCATTTTTTTTTCAGGCATTTAGCTATTTTATTGATTTCGTTTCAGTCGGGAACGACTGATTTAGAATTCTGATAAACAAGAGAATTCAGCAAATGAAGTCAAATATGGTTTGCCTTTTTTTTTTTTGCATCTTTTGCAGTGAAAGTACCAATGCTACCAGTTGACGTATTTGGTTACCTGAAGCTCATGTGGAAGCACGCATCGCGGGGGATCATTTTATAAGTTTGAACAAATCAATTTTAAATTTAAAGTTGAATAATAAATCAGTTTGAAACTGAATACAAAAAAAAAAAGAAAAGTGAAGTTGAAGAATAAATTAATTGGTAAGTTGAAGAATAAAACTAAGTTGCAAATTGAAGGCTCAACTCGATACGGTATCCGGGGATGTGAACAAACGACATCTACAGCAATCGCATGGCGGCATATATGATCGGGATCTCGACATGCTTGACTGATAGGATGACACCCGTCTCGACTTCCTTGGAGTGGCTTCCTGGCTCTGATGGTGAAGTGGTGAAGTTTTTTTTTCGGTCGCACACTTTGATAACTATAGGTGACTTTACTGCCGCGCTCAAAACCACATTCGGAAGCTGACAGTTTTTGGCTGGATGAGTTAGGCTGGATGAAGAAGCAAATAAGAAAGAAAGAAAGGCCAATTAAGATAAAAAAAAGAAAGCAGTGAAGCATTCTGCGGTGTCCTGCTTGTGGTGTGAGTAGCTCTGATGTGCTGCTTTGGTTCGTGTTGGCTGTGTGGACTGCCGTGCTGTCTCTGCTGCCTCTGCGGCCTTGCTGCCTGCCTGCTTGTCATGTCTTTTCGTACAGTTTGCCTGTTCGCTGTGTAGTTTGGCTGCTTTGTCAGCGCTGCCTTGTGCCTGGCTGCGTCGTTGCATTGC